CGCACGCACGCACACACACACACACAGACAGAGAGAGCTGCTCCGTTTGGTGGCTTTTCTTTCGTTTTCTCAAGTACAAATGGCTGTGAATCAGGCTGACCCCAGATGGCAGCGGGGACAGTGCCGAGTGCGCAAACGGCGAGAGCGACCAGCGTGCACGAAACAAGAGCGAGAGCGCGAGAGCGCGAGAGCGCGCACGCGCAGAGAGAGAGAGAGAGAGAGAGAGAGAGAGAGAGAGAGAGAGAGAGAGAGAGAGAGAGAGAGAGAGAGAGAGAGAGAGAGAGCGCGCAGAGCGAGAGAGAGAGAGAGAGCAAATGATCAAAAAACGTGACCGCGCCGTCAGAACAAAAAGTACAAAAAAAAAGGAAAAAAAAATTGAGAGAGTGTGTGGGAGAGCGGCACCGGGACAGAGATACGCCAAGAACGGGATGGATCCAAAGAAGAAAAACCAAGGGTGGAGCAGAGATATATACGACGAGTGAAGCAAATGCAGAGAAAAAGGAAGGGGGAACCAAGTGCTGATATGGAAGCGGTTCATGTGAGCCGAGTCACGTGTGCGTGTGTGTGATAGAATGCAAGGTGTTTGCTAGGAAAACGGGTGTGTGGGTGTGGGGATGATAGTGCGTGTCAAGAGAGGCAGAAGGGCGTGAAGCAGGGGCAAGAGATGTGGTTGAAATATGAATGTTGCGAAGAGACGGCTCAATCTTCGTCAACCATCATCGTTTGATTATCAAGCCAGAAGCAGAGACGCTCCACACAACGTCCACCAGAACCAGAGATGGTGGCGCTAGAAACGTCACTCCCAGAGAGACGAAGAGACCACGCAAAGCAGCGCAAGATTGGCGTGCCGGTTGCTTCCGCGTCACACCCATACACACCCATAAGCCTACATTCCCTTTCCAATGTCCACACTCACACACTCACATGGTCACGCACGCACCCACCGATTGCTTCATCTCTGCAATACGTGTGTGTGGCTGTGATGGTCCATGTCATCATAACGTTGTAACGTTGTAACGTTATGACCCCATGCACTCTTACTCAAGCCCCTTGCTCAACCACAGTAGAAGAAGAAAAGCCAAAGACAAAAAGCAGAGACGAAGAAGATAGACACTCGAGGGTATCGAAATCGGCCCAGATGTGTGGGACTTTGGTGGATGTTGCTTTAAAACCATGGGGCCTAACGCAACCCCTTATTGAATTCGAGTGGGACTGGTGGCAGAATTGGTTCGGGAGAGGTCCAGGGGATGTTACAGGGAGTGGCATCCCCCTTTGCACGCTCAAAG